TTTTTTTTTTTTTTTTGATTAAGTTATCAATGTAGTTTTAGTAAGAACGGCTCCAAGTTTTTAAATTATGTCTAAGGTGGAAAATATAGGCCGATTGGAGTTTCAACACGGTTGTTAATGTGTCAGAAAGTTATGACTTTATTATTAAAATGTTACAGACGTTTCGACCGTAGTTCCGGTCTTTTTCAATATATCTATAAAATAATAAATTTTGAAATCAGAAATGGTAATCAAAACGTCTATAACATTTTAATAATAAATTCATAACTATCTGACACATTAACAACCGTGTTGAAACTCCAATCGGCCTATATTTTCCACCTTAGACATAATTTAAAAACTTGGAGCCGTTCTTACTAAAACTACATTGATAACTTAATCAAAAAAAAACAATTAATCCAAAAAGAAGATAAACCACTTCAACAGACTGATCAAAGACTTCATGAGTTAAATTTTTGTATTAATTGCTCCGAAGTGCGTAACAAAAGATTTCTTGAGAGAGATCATAAAAATGGTCCATTGAGTCATGAACGTGATTACATATATAGAAGAATATAAAACATTGTGTTTAGATCTACACTTAATTTAAATTGTCTTATTTTATTTAAACAATAATAAAAATAACTGCGTTATATTAAAGGATAATACTATCGTCTGCGTTCTTAATATCGCTAAAAGTCAAGATAATAAATTTATATATTATAGAAACAAAACTGATAATAATTTACATATTATAGGAACTAAACCTTATAATACAAATTTGTTTCTTCTATCATGCGAACCACATTTAGGAATCAACATTTAGAAATAGTTACAGTAAGACAAAACAGATATATAAAATCATAATTTTGTCAAAATATTTGCGCCAAAGCTTATAAAAAAAATTCCGTACCACGATAAATTTATTATCTTACCAGTCCTACACACAATTGTACCCACATTGTAAAACCTATATGCATAATAAATTAACTTTAATAACATTTTAATATGTGAAATTTACATATACATACACATGTACATATATATGCATACACATACACATATACATACATATATACATATACATATACATATATGTTGTGACGTGGTGGAGCGGCTGCAGGTGCACCCGCTCACCCTCGTCACAAAGGCTCGTCCCCGATGTCTGAACTCGTACGCGAGGAGTCGCCGATCCTCCAGGGCAAACGCAAAAAATAAGAATCAGTCCGTAAACGAATTGTATGTTTTATGTTTAAATAAAATTGTAAGCGGCTGCGAGCGCCTCACCGGTCTCAACACAGAAATCACGGAGGGACGAAGTCCAGGAGAGACCTGGAGAAGGAAGCTAGAGCACAGTCAGAATTTATTGTTAAACCGGAAAGAACGCAGAAAACAAAGGGCGCAGACAAGGGGAAAACAGAGAAGAAATCTCGAAAAGTTCGTTAAAGATAACAGAAAATCAGCAAGGTCGCCAAGAAGACCGTCGATAACAACAAGTTTCCCGTCAATAACGACAATGACGGTCAACGGGGCCTGACCTTGACGAAAGCCGTTGAGACCTCTTGAATTTTGAAGTTCCAACGGGCCGACACACGTGAGTCTTGCGTCATAGAAAAACTCCGAACGTGATAGGCTCAAAGGATTTTCCCCCGCTGCCATGAGCTCCTAGCGAAAGGAGCCAGCAACCGGGTATATAAAACGCCCGCGTTGCGATGAGAGAGAGATTGTTAACTCGAGAGATTACCTTTGCTTTTGAGTTTGTTAATTCGAGAGACCGCCGCTAATTACCGTTATACGCGAATAAATAGCGGAGAGCGAGAGTGAGAGTGTGAGCGAAAAGACGAGTGCGGAGCGAGAGAGAAAAAGGGAGCGAGAGTGCACAAGAGGAGCCGAGAGAGAGGCGAGTGGACGAGCCACGCGACGATTGGAAACCGCACGGAGGACACCGCGCCGGTGAGCGATTGGCTTGGAGCCGCCTTAAATAAAATTATTCGTAATAAATGAATAAATAAGTCTTAAAGAGCCGTTCGCAGGATGTTGTGCGGAAAATATGTCTTATATGTGTATACACATATATAAGTAAATTCACGTTTTTCACGTGTGATTTTCGAATTGAAATTTCAATTCTTAAATTCATATAGGATGCTAGTTTTGCATCTCATATATGATAGACCCCGAATACCCCCCCTAGTTGAATTAAATGATGGTGAATTTACTTATATATGTGTATACACATATAAGACATATTTTCCGCACAACATCCTGCGAACGGCTCTTTAAGACTTATTTATTCATTTATTAAGTTCAATAAACTTCATGAGCCCGAGGAAGATCCTCAATTTAATATTGATTGTTAAAATTATTCGTGTTCTGTGGCCACCTCGCGAAGCGTCCGGCTGGGAAACACTGTCGCGCTGACAGTTTCGCGGAGGGTTGAGGTGATTCGGCCCTAGTCGTCCTTACAGAGTGATAAGGAGACATGGAAGCAGCGCGCGGCTGTCGCCCAACGGCGAGCACCCTTCTCTTCCCGAGAGTCCCGCGGGTCCTATATTTCGCTAACTCCACTTTGAATTATTCTTTCGGTACTCCCCCTGCTCTGGAGGCGATTGACGCGAATCGCGGTAAAAGGAAGTGTGTGTGTGTGTGTGACCGATCTCGCGAGCCGCGACGTATCGAAGCGACCGGTGAGGAAGCTATCGGATCGTGCAGTCGAAAAGGTGCTATCGAATCGCGTATTAAATCGGTTATCCTTTCACGTCGGTGGAAGGAGCGGACAAACTGAATAGATTACCCAGTGCGGAGCACGAGCTCCTGGCGCAGTAATTCGGCATCTATCCGGACAAGGCGATCGAAAAGAAACGAGACTTTATTAACTGGCGTGTATTATCGGCTTTGAAAACTGAGGCGAGCTCTAAACAGCTGATTCGGCAAGCAAGGCTCAGGCCTGTCGTTGACCCGGCCTGTCGTTGACCCGGCCTGCCGAACGGCGTAAACATCTGATAGTCGTATCGTTTACGCAACTTCGGAATTCGTATTGAAAAACAAGCTCTCGTGTGTAGTACACAAAAACCACGGTAATCGCAGCGAAATCCGGAGAATTTTGTCCGGAACGTCCAGATTCGTTGTCGACTCGGGATTTCATTCTCCGGAAATCCGTCTTCGGTCCACCGACGGGCTCGAATATCTTGCGATACATTTTACTTGTCAATCGATTGTTCTTTTCTTTTATATTTGGCTTGCTAGACCCAAGAATAATCTTAGTTAAATATTTTATCTTTAACTCGGGCTTCGTCTACTTTATTTTGCAATCTCCTAAACCCTCCTTTGCGTTACTTAACACAACCGCCCCTTTCCGTTCGGGTTAAACACAAAAAGGAGCTAGTCGGCCTGACTTCCGACGACGGGACGTCTCAATAATTGGTACGCTAAACACGTGCCTGGCGCCCAAATCTACAACCACAGAAAACAAACTATCCCGGTGATTCAGAGCATCTCCAGGCTTGACCGGCCGGGGACATTGGTCACGTCGGGGACGAGCCACTTTTCTTATCGCAGCGAAAAAGTGTTGCAATGTCTATATATAATTTTATTTAAATGTTACGGATATAGTTTTCATTAATAATTATTCAAACAGTACAATGCAGAGTGATACATACGTTTGAGTAATATTACTGAAAAAGATATTCGACATATCATACAAAATTTATTAGTTTTAAAATATTTTATTCACAGTCCAATGCAATGTATGCAACATGCCAAATATAGTAAATCACGTTAAATAACATCTCTAACGTTTAGAAAACATAATAAAAACATTTGATATATATAATATTGCTATTTGAAATGCAATACAATATTACCGTAATATTTCATTATTATATGTAAAAATGTAATATGTCGATAATATTATTGTAATATTATATTATAATATTTAACATTACTGATATATATTGTAATTTTACTGTGATATTGCAGTTATATTACAATAAACTTACATTACAGTAGTTGCTATGTGGGAAATATACATTCTAAAATATGCAAAGTACATCTTGTGTAAGTTCTTAGTGTTGTAGCTTTGAAAGAGAAGAAATTGCTGTTACATATACTATATATATGTATAAATTTTAATTTAATTATTACTTTTTCTATAAAAATCTATTTTTCATATTTTTATGTGTTTAGAATAAGGACGACAATTAGTTTTAGTATAAAAAAACATATAAAATAACTTTGTGATATTATATCATATAAGAAGATCTAAAAGAACGTAAATCACAAGAGAAACGGAGTTAACGTCATCAAACAATGATTACTATTACACTGGTACTGGTTATTATACTTCTTATATTGATACATCAATATAATTTACATTATGGAAAGAGAGGACGACTTCTAAATCTTATTCCGGGACCACCAGCTCTACCAGTGTTAGGAAATATACTTCTCTTCACTGTTCCAAATGGTAAGAAAAAGAATTTAGCTTTTTTTGTATTTATAAAAACGAATAAATATTTGCAATTTTTTATTTTTTTTTAATCTGTATATATGGCCAAGTTATATATTGCACTTTATATAAACGTTATCTCGATAAATTATTAAGAATTCTTCAATTATTTCTTTAAAATTAACTTCATTTGCCATAGTTTAAAATTATTATATATCTGTTATATTTTGTAAGTGACTTAGAATTATTTATAATTTTCAGAAAAACTATTACACACAATATGTAAAGTACAAGATCAATACTATCCAATCGTAAGAGCTTGGTTATGTCATATGCCATTCGTATTTATTCGTCATCCAGATGATATGAAAGTAATAAAATAAAATAAATTGTTTTTGACTTTTAATATCCGTAATATTGTCAAGAAATTATATAAAGACTGAAACTTTTTGATAAAGCTAAAGTGCAAAAACAGATTATAATCTCCCGGTAAAAAATTTTCCATGTATAAATTTGTATGGACGTATTCGTCATATAAATTTGCATAATTAGACATAATTATTTTAATTTGTGTATAAGTATATATGAAAAATTTTTTACCGGGCTGTTATCTGTTATCTCCCAAATAGCCAACTGAGTGCAAGTTGTTGGCAACTTGCCACAAATATTGCTCATATGTTTTCGGCAATGTAACAAAAGGGTGTATCCTCTTTTCAGTATGTTCTTGCCAGCAACAGTTTTCAAAATATAATAACAGCAAGTTTCCAACAACTCATCGGCAATAAACTTATATTATTTTTCTCAACTTATGAGTAAAAATTATTGCTCACATATTATTCACATATTGCTAACTCACTTGTTATAAACATTGGCTACAACAATTGAATGATAATAAAACTCAGCATATTGATACTAAATTGACAAAAATATTTTTGTTGCATTAAATAAAAACAACACAACAGCAATTGGCAAGCAACTTAATCTATACAATGATTTGCTTTATATTGAGTTTTCACATTTATCTATCTGGGCTATCTGGGCTGTTATCTGTTATCTGTTATCTGTGATCTGTCATCTGTACATGATTAATTAATCATGTATTATTTTACATGATTAATTAGTCATGTATTATTTTACATGATTAATTAGTCATGTACAGATATTATTAAACTTATATAATATTTATATATATGAAATTGATTTTAAAAAGTACTCTATATAAATGAGATATATTATATAATGAAGACGGGAATTGAAGATCTTTTTTTGTCTAGATTATATTAAACAACATACAGTGTATCGAGAAAAGTGATCTGTACAAAGTAATGCGATGTGGATTTGGAGACGGTCTTGTGACCAGCGGAGGTAAAATAATAACATTAAGTGTGTCATGTGATATGAAATACTTCATTTTCTGCCTTAAAATTATCAATTATAATTTTTCTAGAAAATAAAAGTTCTTGAAAAAACAAAGTTTTGAATAGAACAACTCGACTTCCCAAAAGATATAAATTTTTAAATAGACAAAAAAAAATGTTTCTTTTTATGAAGAACAGTAATTTTTGACAGCACTAATTAAACGATAAAATTTCACTTTTACTTCTATTTCATTTCTAACATCAAGAAGAAAAGAAAAATAAAAAAAAAGTAGACCAGCTTTCACTTGAAAAACATCTAAGACCTTGTGTTAAACTTTACCAAACATTGTGATGTGCTATAATTTAACAGTAGTAGTTAAACAAACGACTAATAAAAATATCAGGAGACAATTATTTTCTCTGTGTTTCAGGTAGCAAATGGCATGCACGAAGGAAAATAATAACACCGACATTTCATTTTCATATTTTAAAGCGGTTTGTTGATATTTTCATTAAAGAAAATAATCACATGATTACGGCTTTAAAAGATGCTAAAGGACCAGTTGTGAAAGAGATACTGCCATTTATAAGCAGCCACATGCTCAACATAATATGCGGTAATTTATATTTTATGTTCTTTATTGCTGTACTCATTGTCCTTGTTTTAAAGTCAATTAAAAAATATAGAAAACTTGTTATTGATTTTTTAAATTATGATAAAAATATTTTAATATTTGTTTACATACGCATTGTCAATATAGAAACAGCTATGGGCATCTCTTTAACTAATTCCGCGGGCCAAAATTTTTGTCATGATGTTTATCAGATGTGTGAAATCATCACCTACAGGTAACATATAATCTTATAGCATCTTCCAAGTATCTTCTCTACTATATTAAGTTATACTTCTGAAAATTTTTGTTTAGATTTCAAAGGATCTGGTTGCATAACGAGTGGATAACTGGACTGTTACCAATAGGTAAAAGACAGAAGAAACTTCTGACTAGGTGTAAAAGCTTTTCACAAAAGGTATGTAAAAATAATTTATAAATGCGATCATGTGATAATTTATAATAATACATTACACAAAATAAGAAAAGAAATGTTTACTAAGAGAGATATTATATACGTGATTGTAGATTATTACGGAAAGAAAATTGTATCACGAACGTACTAACGGTCGATATTTAAAAAATATCGAAAGTGATACGTTTACACAAGTAAATGGCTCAGAAGACAGTGAAAGTAAGTACAAATATAAAAAGATGGATCAAAAACGATTGTATAGTTGTAATATAGATAGAATAAGTTATTCCTTTACAGCTTGAAGTAGATTACAATATATTATTTTATAACAACAAGTTTTTTATAAAAATAAAATAAGCTTGTTGAAAAATAAAGTTCAGGATTAAAAAAACAAGATTTTACCAAAGTAATATATAACAAAAAACCTTACTATATGATATTGAATTTTTTAGGTAAAAATAAACGACTCGCTTTGTTGGATTTATTGATAGCCATGTCACAGGAAAATAATTTAACTGATTCAGACATCATGGAAGAAGTCAGTACATTTATAGCTACGGTAACTATTTCTGATGTTTTTTTTCTTTCAAATTTCTAGATACATATTATTTCAATATGTACTATATAATAAATTATGTTTACAGGGATATGATACTTCGACGTCGGCAATATATTTTGCCTTAATAATGTTAGCCAAACATAAAGATATTCAGGTAGAATAATGTCACTCTCTCTCATATAAAAAACTGTCATCTAAAAAAAAACTACTACCAAAGTAGATGTATGTCAAAAATATTTTGTTTGTAAAAGAACTTATAATACTTGTTTTTTTAAGTATATTTATCTACAAAAAATATACAGGGTGATTCAGAACACCCCGTTATCCTTGAAAATACATATTCATGACTAAATTCTAAGACAACTTTTTACCTGGCAAACTTTTGTCTGAAGCTTACTTTTTGAGTTATTAATAAAAATAGTTGGTTTATCACAAGTCGGATACAAGAAGTAGGCAAAGGCGGCGCAACTCACCGTCAGATGCGGGCGATTACGATTGTGGTGCCTGACGCGATCAGCTGTTCGCTACGCTCTGTTTCTGTATCTTTTTCTGTCTCTCTCTCTCTTTCTCTCACTTATTTATTTACTTACTCGTAATTTGTATCATTTAATCCGTGCATCACATAAATCACTGTCAATCACAGTGAGTTGCGCCGCCCCTGCCTACCTCTTGGATCCGACTCATGGTACGTCAACTATTTTTGTTAATAACTCAAAAAGTAAGCTTCAGATAAAATTTTGCCAAATAAAAAGTTGTCTTAGAATTTAGTCAAGAATATGTATTTTCAAGAATAACGGGTTGTTCTGAATCATCCTGTACATATATGTAGTTATACGTATAAATATAAAGAATGTCTGAAAATTTTTGACACAGTCGATGTATAAAAATAGATTGAATCAATCTGAACAGAAAAGTCATTTACAATTTTGTAAAGTTTGCAATATTAATTGACGTATTAATTACTGAATGTGAGACAATGAGCGTGTGAAAAACGATGGACCGAACTCTGTAGGCGTGTATGATGTTCTTAGTTGTATCGTCGTGAAAATCAGTTGATCACAAAAAGTTGTGTTACGCGCCGCTCGCGCTTGATTATAGTTTTTTTTACAATGAAAATCATACATGTCTACGAAGTCCAAACCATCGCTTATTGGTTTACAGTCACTAAGTAATAACTCAATAAATATTGTGAAGTTTGCATGCTGATAATTGAGCTTTAAAATCGTTATAATGCTTTCATTTACAAAAAATCGGATTCGTCATACAACGCTCTCTTCTATCTCTAACAGTTTTTATATAAAAAGTTATGTATAGGTATGTCCTCCTGTTTTATACTTTTCTACATTGATCACTTTAATATACGATTATCATCGGGTATACCTATATAGTTGTATATGTATTTTGTACTTATATATATTTACCATTTCTTATACAGGATCGCGTTAGAGTGGAAGTTAATAATATGTTCAAAGAGAATGACGATAAAGTTACCATGTCATCGTTGCAAAACTTACCATATTTAGATAGATGTATAAAGGAAACATTGCGCTTGTACCCAAGTGCACCTATTATAATGAGATTGACAACGGAAGATGTAAAATTACGTGCGTATATTAAGTGAATTTACAATAGAGATTTTTGAACACTTGATTGTGTAAAGAATGTATAATTTATGTATATTTTGTGTCTGTCTGGGAACTCTCTTATTTCAAGTACTTTTTTATTTTATAATAATGATGAACAGATAGTACGCATGTGTCACATATCTTGTTCGAAAAAACACTTCTGAAGAAAATATTATAAACCAGTATTAATTACTTACTATATATGAGATTGGTGCATGCCGCGTTGTTTTTGTCAAAGATATAATTATTGATTTTATTTGAAAAAAATTGGTATTAGAATAGATACAACTGTTCTATATATAGATACATAATATACATGTTTTATATTTACTTTGGCAAGTATAATCAGTTTAGTAATTACATTTTAGTGTAGTTTATCACTATGTATTTATTTTTATAGATTCATACACAGTACCTTCAGGAACAAACATATTACTTAATATATATGCAATGCACAGAGATCCCAAGTTCTGGCCGAATCCAGAACTATTTAATCCTGATCGATTTTTACCACATAAAAGGAAAAATTATCATCCTTTTTCTTATTTGCCGTTTAGCGCGGGACCAAGAAATTGCATAGGTAAGACTGCATAGTATTATATTTGTGTGTAATTTCGTTAAAGAATACTCTGCATTAAGAAACATATCAAAACCTCATCAAATCATCAAATAAAATACTATCATAGTTTTACATATAATGTAATTTATAATACACAGGATGTCCTAAATAAATTGTTACAAGCTGTTTTCTCAGAATCTAATAAAGATATCAACAATAAGTTTTTGAAAATTAAATGGTTCAGTGGAGCTACTCTTCTCTAATGAGTAACAGAGTTTTTTGGAAGCAAATACTATAAGAGAAAGAAGGTCGCCCAACAATTTTTTAAATGGAAAGTGGTAATAATTGTTGGTTATTTTAATAAAATGTTTAAGTAAATGTTATTTAGTTTGATGACAACTATTAAAATAACAAAAAATTAATGCCACTTTCCATTTAAAAAATTGTTGGTCGGCTCTCTTTCTCTTATAGCATTTGCTTCCAAAAAATCTTTTACACACTAGAGAAGAGTAGCCTCCCTGTGCCATTTAATTTAAAAAAACATTTTTGTCGATATCTTTATTAGATTCTGAGGAAACAGCTTGTAACAATTTATTTGGGACACCCTGTATAAACATTTTTGTTATTACAAATTGCAGGTCAACGTTTTGCAATGTTAGAAATAAAAGCTACACTTGCTTTTTTAATACACAATTTTTACTTAGAGCCTGTGGACTATTTCGAAGATACGGACGTAATGGTGAAGGTGACTCTTTGCCCTACTTACCCAAGTCGTATAAGATTTGTTCCTTTCGATACAAAATAATTAAAAAAAAACAAAAAAATATTTATTTTATACTATTTGTTTATATATGTATATATATTTTACTCTATTTATTTTACTCTATTTGTTTATATTTATATATATTGTACTTTATTTATTTTACTCTATTTGTTTATATTTATATATATTTTACTCTATTTATTTTACTCTATTTATTTTACTCTATTTGTCGCATAAAATAGACTAATATAGATAATCTCTGCTATAACAAAAAAACATGTATAAATATTCCTTAATAGAAGAAATACACGCCGGAATCAAAAGGAAAAAAATCACATGTTTTTATTATAACAACATATAGAAAAAGTGATACATATATATTTACATATTATAGTATTTTACATNGTATATTTACAATAATAAAATAATACAAAACTTACACTATGAGTCGTTTATTATCCCATCCAATTATAAAAAAAGTATGTTAATATGTTAATGATATCTTATAATAGTTGTAATACAGGGTAAAATCAGTTTCCACTATGAATTTTACCTGTAAGAAACATAAATTGTACTATATATTTTATTAGAGAAGACAACCAGACACTTATTCCCAGATAACCAAGACTGAATGAGCATAGTTTGCAAAGTCTGCAATAACACATTATGCCAATGTAGCCAGCATTCAAACATAATCTGTTATTTCAACTGGTGTCGACAGAAAAACAGAAAAAAAAGAGAATATAAATGTGTCATGCCGTGATGCAAATATTATTGCATCAATCAAGCAGAACTTGCTCAAAAAATGTAGCAGATTTGAAGCATAACGTGCTATTGTCATTTTATTCTTCATTTATTTCTATATTTTTGCTGTGTTATTTTTTTTACGCATCGTGCCTACATAATTCACTCACTATGATGACACAGCTGACTTGTAAGTGGAATCTGCTGCAAAGTGCTGATTAAAAACTAATAAAAATGATGCAGAATATTTTACAATACCTCTCGGTGGAAGCTCGCGTTCGTGCGTCGCGGTGGCACGTCTCGGCGTGTTTACTTCCCGGAAGGCTTAATTTCTAGTCCCGAGAGAGCAAGTGATTCGCCGGGGCGCACTCGGCAGAAAAGTCTGTGCTTCCCCGGACTGAGCGTGAGTGTGCGGGAACGCATTTAGTTTTGCTGGGAAACCCGACACAGGGAAACTTTCGTTTCTCAAGAACAGAAGCGAGCGGAAACGTTCGATTCGCCGGGACACCCGGCAGGGAAACTTTCGTTTCTCTGGAGCGGGAATGAGCGAGAACGCTCGGTCTGTCGGGACACCTGGCAGAGAAGCTGAAAAAAAACTCCTGAAACGGAGCAGGTCAGATTCTTCTAGTTGTCGCCAAGACTCGCGGTCGAGAAAAGGCTCCTTTTTGCAACTACTTCGAGATCGAAGCAGATCTGCCTCACAGCGATGTGATGGAAGATCGAGCCCGCAGCAACGAGAGTATCGAAGCGGTTGGGGCACGCACACAAGCGAGAACCGCCGTACCGCCATCAGCGTGACCAAAAGGAATATTGTCCAGATTGTATCTTCTTTGGCACTTGATCACTTTCACACGCGCACACACGCGCGATTAAGCGAATTTCTTACATAATTTTCTTTAAAAATTGCTTTTGATAATATTAGACGTTAATTCACGAAAAAAAAATCTTACGTATATCAAACTATTATCTTGCTGTTTCGAAATTTGTTTTTTTTTGTCAAATAAAGTATTTTAAATTAATAAAGAACAAGAAGAAGATTTCTTCGGGCTCTGAAGTCTTTTAAACTAATAAATGAAATATCGGGTAGTAAGAGCCATTTGCAGGATGTTATGCTGAATGTGCTTCAATATATGTATATGTATACACATATACGATGAAATAATTTTTTTCCTCCATATAGGATGCGGGATTTGCATCACGTATATATAGAGGACCCCGTATACCCCCCTAACTAATTTTAAAATATTGCGAAAAAATAGCCGGAGATTCCAGGTTCGACTCCTGGCTGAGGAGTTTTTTTTCGCAATATTTTAAAATTAGTTAGGGGGGTATACGGGGTCCTCTATATATACGTGATGCAAATCCCGCATCCTATATGGAGAAAAAAAATTATTTCATCGTATATGTGTATACATATACATATATTGAAGCACATTCTGCATAACATTCTGCAAACGGCTCTTACTACCCGATATTTCATTTATTAGTTTAAAAGTATTTTAAATATATATAAAGCAATTTAAATATATAAATATTACGATTACACGTAACTCACATTTCTTTGTTATATGTATGTTATATGACATGATATATGGAAATGTACTTTTTATTTGAATTTTACAACAACCGGACTCTTCAAAATCGAGTCAACAAGCACTACTGAATACAAAAACAATCTATAACGTTTCACTTCCGAACTCTTCTCAATGACAGTTAAGATGACAATGGTATCGCTTGCACTCAAACTGTCAAAGAGAAGAATTCGGAAATGGATAAAAAGTTATAGTATAGATTTATTTGCGCTTCTTCTTAATAGAGACCCGGTAAAAAATTTTCCATGTATAAAATTGTATGGACATATTCGGCATATAAATTTGTATAATTAGATATAATAATTTTAAAATTTGTGCATAAGTATATATGATTATATATCAAAAATTTTTTAAAAATATAGTAAAAATATAGTTTTATATAATTTTTTGTATCTAACATGATACTAATAGAGTTATTTTGTAATTTGATATGGAATATCTCTGAAGCCATTCTCTTAAAAAAAGAAATTCT